GAATTTACCCAGCCCTGGTCTCACTCGGGTTTAGAATTCCTGATCTACGCATCAGGTATGGTTGTTTGTTGGGAAATGGAAGGTCTTGGAAGAATTTACCAGCCATTGGTCGTACGTAGGTTGAGAACCACTGCTCGAGGCAACATATATAGTTAATTGTTGAGACATGGAAGGTATTTGAAACATTACCCAGGCCCCTATCTCACTATGGTTGAGGACCAATGCTCTAGGCCAGGGGTGGGCAACTGTGGCCCTCCAGCTGTTGGTGAACTACAAGTCCCATCATGCCTCTGCCTTTGGGAGTCAGGCTTGTAACTGTCCATCTTGCAATGCCTCATGGGACTTGTAGTTTGGCAACAGCTGGAGGGCCACCAGTTTCACACCCATGATCTAGCCAAAGGGCCTAGCGAATCCCTCTCCCTATGATCAGCCAAAGCCAACCTCCGAGTACTAGGTCTTCCAAAGAGAACCCCCCCCCCATAGGTTCAGGGGAGGAAGAAACCTAATGGCCACACATCCTCCCCCTAGACTTCAGGGCAGGCCCAAGGACCCACACCCTCCATCCAGTGAGGAAAACAAAACACAAAAGTGAAAACACGTGGAGAGAGAAATAAATACAAAAGTGTCAGTGCAATTGTGCACTGGCTTGGCCCTGAGGCCTGGTAGAAAAAAAAAACGCCCTGAACTTAGCCAAAAGGTCTAGCCCATACGGACGCAGCGCAAAAAAAAAGTTTCAGTGCTGTGATAATGTGCTCGTTCACACAGTGGGTTTCCCACGCCCAAGTGCTACCAAGAGCACCCCTGGGGCGACCACACCCAGGGGGCACAGACACCGCAGACTCTCTGTCTTCCCAGCCCATGGCCAGACAAGGTAGACCCATTCAAATCACTGGGCCCATCCAGTTTTCCCGCGGGAATTACACTTGTGCCCCAACCGCCTCTGGCGCCCTGATTTCTGTTCCACACGGTACTAGCCTTCAAAGCCCTCATCATAGCAGCAATGATACTATACTGCCAGCCATTCCTACCAGAAGGCAAGAATAACAGTGGAGTGGGAGAGGAAAGACATATTTTTTTTTAATCCGCAGAAGTGTGCAAAAACAAAAACCCGATAAGTGTACTAAAAAAAAGTACAAGAGCAAAAACACCAACACAAAAAAGTGCACTTAGGAGTGTGCTTTTAGTCCACTCCCCGAAAGGGTAGGTCTACGCTGATCCCCCGGGGTACAAGGCTCCTGACAGGGACAAAGAGGGTTTCCAACATGGCGGACCCCTTTCCTTGTGATCAGACGAAGCCGACCACCAAGTACTAGGTCGAGGAGCTCTCCTGAAGACAACCCCCCCCCCCCCAAGGATCGGGGGAGGAAGGAACCTCCCCTCAGATGTCAGGGCAGGCCCAGGGACCCACACCCTCCATCCAGTAAGGAAAAAAAACAACACACACTATAATAAAAATAATAAACAGACAAAAGAGGCAAACAGTGGAGAAAACAAAAAAATAAATAAGTGGTTGTGCAATTGTACACTGGCTAGGCCCTGAGGCCCAAAGCAAAAAATTTGCCCTGGACTTAGCAAAAAGACCATAACCATGTACACTTTTCACACGTGGAATCCCACACCCATGTGTTACTAAAAGCACCCCTGGGGCTACCACTCCCAGGAGCCACTGCTCCGTGGACTCTCCGCCTCCCCAGCCCCTGGCCAAGCAAGGTAGACCCATTCAGATCAGGAGGAACTGGGCCCCCTCTGGTTTTCCCAGAAAATTACTCTTGGGACCCAACAGCCTGCAGGCACCTAGGTTTCTGCTCTAGCCGGTACTAGCCTTCAGAGCCCCTATCATACCAGCAGGGGTACTATACAGCCAGCCATCCTCGACAAAAGGCAAGAATGATGGCGGAGCAACCCTACTGGACACTGATAAGAACAGATACTACACCTGATCTTAGCCAAAAGGCCGAGAAGTGATGAGAGGAAAGAGATACCATAGATGATGCTGGTTGTCCTCCAGCCAGGAAATGAGGCAGAGCTCTGTCTGACTTGCTGCAGATTCTAATGTACATTGTGAGAAGCTCACAGTGTGCAATGAAATTAGAGTAAGCAATTTCAGTCCAGGAGAGGAGCCAGTAAAATTGTGCAAGACTGAAGGAAAGGCTAGAGTTATAAGCAGGAAGCATCTTTAAGACACCATAAGGACTACGTTGCAGTGGGTAGAGGTAGAGAACGACCATTTTCGAGAGAAGTAGTGTCAGGAATGGAATCACGATTAGTGGTGGGACTCATCTGCCGTGTGGGCTGCAGTACCAGGGCTGGCCAGCGGGTGCTCTCAGCAACCAGAATCTCACTCCTGCAATCAGCCATCACCTGAGGCTGATTGCAGGAGGTGTATTTAAGGAAAGGCCAGACCTGCAGTCAGTGCCTTGGTGTATGTTTCCCATGAGCCCCTGTACCTTGTATCCTGTGTTCCTGTTCTGCCTATCTGATTTGTTGCCGATCCTGACCTCTGCTGACTTCTCCTGCTTGATCCCTGGCTCGTTTGACTACTCTCCTGGACATCCCTAATCTGATCTGAACTCCTGTTACCGACCCTGGCGAGTGACCCGACTACTCTTCTGCCTGCTGCCTAGTACCACGCTGACCCGCTGTTACCGTCCCGGCCCATCTGACCACGCTAATTACTCTGCCATCCATCCATCCTGCACGGATCCAGCCATCCCGGCTCACACCTTCTGCCTCTTCACATCAGGCTCTCTACCTGCATATACCTCTGGCGGTACCCTCTACCACGAGCAGGTGTACTCAGGGGCCGCGACCTGGTTCCTGTCTGCTCCAAGTCCATCCCCACCATCAGGGGCCCTGGTGAATAAGCAGACTGGGACTTAGACTCTGCGCCCTGGGGAATCCTGTCCTGAGGACTGCTAGAGGTACCACCAGACGGTTGTTAACCATACGGCCGGCCTGACCATTCCACCTCTCCAGCCCTGACTACGCCTGTGTTCCTGCACATACTAATATTAGTGGAAGGTTGGTGTGTTTACTGTGCGTTTTATATATTTGGGTGGCTAATAATAAATTATATTGTTATATCATTCCTGAAGCATGTTACTTCCTTGTGTCAGTCCACACGTTTCTGGTCACACCTGGATCCCTGACAAGTAGAGCTGCATCATTACTCGACCTTCAGGTAAGTGTTTTCCAGATTTGGTGGGGAGCCAAGCAGTGGTTAGAGGCAGAGGACGACCATTTTTGAGAGAAGTAGAGCTGTATCGTTACTCAACCTTCAGGTGTTTTCCAGATTTGGTGGGGAGCCATGCAGTGGTTAGAGGAGGCAGAGGACGACCATTTTTGAGAGAAGTAGAGCTGTATCGTTACTCGACCTTCAGGTGTTTTCCAGATTTGGTGGGGAGCCAAGCAGTGGTTAGAGGCAGAGGACGACCATTTTTGAGAGAAGTAGAGCTGTATCGTTACTCGACCTTCAGGTGTTTTCCAGATTTGGTGAGGAGCCATGCTGGGGAGCTCAGCCTCCGATATATACACACCCTGATTTGTCTAGCACACAGTCTCGAAAAATCCTCCAGGGCTCTGGCCTCTCTCACAATTACACATAATCAGTCCCCAGGGACTTGGCTGTCAGTTCGGCGAGTTGGATGGGTAATGAGCTGAGCCAGGATGGGTCACCAGGCGGAGGGGGAATAGTATCTCTCACAAAGGTAATGATGGCTGGTGCTCTGTGGAAATGTAATCACAGTCCAGGATTAAACGAGGCGGCCAGTACGGCGAGGCAAATAGTGCATATTATGGAACGCTTTGTAGAAGAGATGACTAGGTGGAAGAAGGTCAAGAAGGTCAATGATGAGAGCAATGTGTGAAGAAGAGGACACCGAGCACATACATAATACACAGCACAGAGAGATGAGGGGCCTTCAAAAAAGTAAAGTGGACAATGGCTGAGAAATAAAGGAGATGAACTGTGCCTGGTGAAACAATACCGCATTGCTACAGAATAATTCAAGAGGCTTGTCTATTACATTATCATTAGATCAGATTTAACAGTCTGCAATATGAAAGGAGGAGAATACAACTGAAGGCCAGAGTGCTCAGAGGGCCCTGTTTGTGGGAAGTTATGGTTTAAAACGGAGAGGCAAGTGATCCAAAAGGTAATGGAGAAAGTACAAGTTCAGTTATAAGGTAGAGGAAGGATAGACTTCTCTGAAGAGATGAGTTATTCAGGGATCACCTAAAAGGTGGACAAAGTAGGCGATAGCTGGACTGATTAGGGTAAGGAGTTCCAGAGCATGGGAGAGGCTCTGCAGAAGTCCTGGGGGAGAGCATGGAAGGGGGGGGATGAGGGAGTTAGAGAGGAGAAGGTCTTAGGACGATGGTTTGATATTTCAAGATGAAGTTGGTGTTGTTACTGGGGGCAGAGTTGTGGATGGCTTTGTATGTTTCTTTTAGAATTGTATTCATTGGACAAGTGAAATCCAGTGGAGGGACTGGCAGAGAGTAATGGCGGACCCATCCAAATATAATTAATAGGCATTGACTATGTACATTGAACTCCATGCTGGCCAAGTTATTAAAATCTTTTTATATGTAGACATTCACAAATTTTACTGAAGACACAACCCAACACCCAAAACGTCCTTGGCCCCACAACTTCCTCAATGCATCAATACAATGTAGCCTACAAAATAAAATGTTTTTATCCTACAGCCTCTATTAACCGTCATGTCACGTGAAATGTGAATCTTTGCCATCAATTAATTGCCTTTTTGGGAAGAATTGATAACGGGTACATTTAAACTGCCCAAAATCTTCCTCGTTAATGTGATTATACCTTCCTGGAATATACAGATAAGAAAATACTCACCTTATTATTCCAAAATCCTGCAAAACCGGCCAAGTCTCATGGGGCTGAGGATACGGGCCAAGGGCTCCAAGTGTTATCGTATTTCTTAGAGATTGCTTTCAGTCATTTTGTCCCATGTGTGATGTAATCTGCAGGGGCAGACTGACCATTTGGAAACTCGAGGGCCCGGGGTCAGTAGGGGGCCCCATGAGATGCCCCTGGCACCTTTTTCATAGGCTTTTCTGAGTTTGGGCAAGGACAGAGGGGCCCCATGATCCCCTATTGCCCGGGGGCCCCATGAGTTGTCAGTCTGCCCCTGGTAATCTGTATAACTGACTTGGTAGGTACCACAGGCATTCTTTCAGAGAAGAGGGACCTGTGTCCCTAATGTATTTCAAGAGAAGAGAGAAAACTTTTCATCACTGTACACTATGGTACATTGGATGGGGTAAATCAGGTACATAGGAACATCAAAAAGCAATCCAGTTTACTTTACCCGTCCAGATGGCATACTAACTAGGGCAGTCTTTCACAAGCTTTTTACCCCCAGCGGAACTCCTAAAAACAGGCTTCATGTCTCAGTTAAATCTTACCAGAACTAATACAAAAAAAATACTCCTTACAGCGATGATTGGTAGGAAGAATGTTCTTTACAATGATGGTCAGTAGGAAAAATGTCCCTTACATTGGTGGTCGGTGGGAAGAATGTCCCTTACATTGGTGGTCGGTGGGAAGAATGCCCCTTACATTGGTGGTCGGTGGGAAGAATGCCCCTTACATTGGTGGTCGGTGGGAAGAATGCCCCTTACATTGGTGGTCGGTGGGAAGAATGCCCCTTACATTGGTGATCGGTGGGAAGAATGTCCCTTACATTGGTGGTCAGTGGGAAGAATGTCCCTTACATTGGTGGTCGGTGGGAAGAATGTCCCTTACATTGGTGGTCAGTGGGAAGAATGTCCCTTACATTGGTGATCAGTGGGAAGAATGTCCCTTACATTGGTGATCAGTGGGAAGAATGTCCCTTACATTGGTGGTCAGTAGGAAAAATGTCCCTTACATTGGTGGTCGGTGGGAAGAATGTCCCTTACGTTGGTGGTCAGTAATAAGAATGCTCTTTACTTTGGGGGTCAGTAATAAGAATGCTCCTTACTTTGGGGGTCAGTAGGAAGAGTGGTCCTTACATTAATGATCAGTAGAAAGAATGCTCCCATCATTGGTGGTCAGTAGGAAAAATATCCCTTACATTGGTGGTCAGCAAAAAGAATATTTCTTACATTGGTGATCAGTGGGAAGAATGCTCCTATCATTGGTGATCAGTGGGAAGAATGTCCCTTACATTGGGGGTCAGTGGGAAGAATGTCCCTTACATTGGTGATCAGTGGGAAGAATGTCCCTTACATTGGTGATCAGTGGGAAGAATGTCCCTTACATTGGTGGTCAGGGCAAAGAATATTCCTTACATTGGTGATCAATAGGAAGAATGCCCCTTACATTGGTGATCAGAATGAAGAAAGTGTCTTACATTGGTGGACAGAACAAAAAGTTTCTTACATTGGTGGACAGAACGAAGAAAGTTTCTTACATTGGTGGACAGAATGAAGAAAGTTTCTTACATTGGTGGTCAGTGAAAAGAATGTTCCTTACATCAATGGTCAGTAGGAAAAATGCTCCTTATATTAGTGGTCAGTAGGAAGAGTGCAACCCTCACAGTGGTGGTCAAAGTGCCACCCTTAAAATAGCTAAAAAGAACTGCTCTCATGCAACTGGCATTGCTAAGTGGCCTTGGCCCTGGGACTATTCAGAAGCCATCAAATGGAGGTCAATCAGCCACAACTCAAGGAACCCCTGGTAACATCTGGAGGAACCCTAGGGTTCCAAGGAACCCCTGTTGAGAATGGCTCTCCTTCTGGGTCATCAGGAACAGGCTTCCACCAGTGGGTGCAGTACATCCCAGAACCTGTAAGGCAAAAGCACTTAAGGCAGAGTCCATGCCAAAAGATGCATTACATGCTGGCCCTGCTTCTTCTTCTCAGCAGGGTATGGCAATGATCTACCAATCCAGAAAGCTGCATGATGAGTCTCTTCTGGCTCTGCAGCCACGGCCTTAGTGGAGAGAAGAGATCCGTTCTCCTAGGACACTAGCATGCTGGGAAAGGGCTGTCCTCATGGCCTTGTTTTGGCAGTGTACAATCTCCTGAAGGCAGCAGCATTACCCAATGTACTTGAAAAACCCATAATGTACGATTAGGAAATATGACTTGATAGGTTATAAGAAGACACACAGACATACAGTATCTTACTATCCCAATCTGTTCTGCGGCCCAGGTAAAGATCCTGAAAATATTCCACTACCAGAGACAGCCCGGTGCATAGCATTTTCCAATCCTAATCATGCTTACCCAATGGTCATACACAAAGAAATGGCCTAACTGACCCCTACTTCTGTTCTATGAAAGCTTGGTGGTTGCACTATAGAAGGATACGTGACCAAAGAGAGCAGAGGGACTGTGAAAATACAGCTAGTTATGGCAGTCATGGGTTACATAAAACTCAGGTTAAACTTTGCAGACTTTCTGGTTTTAGTTCAGTTGCAAAGTCTTCGAGAGAGCAATGGGGTTAAGGGGAATTTTATTGGCCACCTGATGAAGGGGAAGTGTATTGGCCCCCTGATAATGGGGAAGTGTATTGGCCCCTGATAAAGGGGAAGTGTATTGGCCCCTGATAAAGGGGAAGTGTATTGGTCCGCTGATAAAGGGGAAGTGTATTGCCCCCCCCGATAAAGGAGAAGTGTATTAGCCCCCTGATAAATGGGAAGTGTATTGGCCCCCTGATAAAGGGGAAGTGTATTGCCCCCCCCCCCCCCCTGATAAAGGGAAAGTGTATTGCCCCCCCCCTGATAAAGGGGAAGTGTATTGCCCCACCCCTGATAAAGAGGAAGTGTATTGCCCCACCCCTGATAGAGGGGAAGTGTATTGCCCCACCCCTGATAAAGGGGAAGTGTATTGCCCCCCCACCTGATAAAGGGGAAGTGTATTGACCCCCCCCCCGATAAAGGGGAAGTGTATTGACCCCCCCCCCCGATAAAGGGGAAGTGTATTGACCCCCCCCCCCCCCGATAAAGGGGAAGTGTATTGATACCCCCCTGATAAAGGGGAAGTGTATTGCCCCCCCCCCCCCGATAAAGGGGAAGTGTATTGGCCTCCTGATGAAGGGGAGGTGTATTGGTCCCCACATGAAGGGGAAGTGTATTGGCCCCCAGACGAAGGGCAAGTGTATTGGCCCCCAGACGAAGGGCAAGTGTATTGGCCCCCAGACGAAGGGCAAGTGTATTGGCCCCCAGACGAAGGGCAAGTGTATTGGCCCCCAGACGAAGGGCAAGTGTATTGGCCCCCAGACGAAGGGCAAGTGTATTGGCCCCCAGACGAAGGGCAAGTGTATTGGCCCCCAGACGAAGGGCAAGTGTATTGGCCCCCAGACGAAGGGCAAGTGTATTGGCCCCCAGACGAAGGGCAAGTGTATTGGCCCCCAGACGAAGGGCAAGTGTATTGGCCCCCAGACGAAGGGCAAGTGTATTGGCCCCCAGACGAAGGGCAAGTGTATTGGCCCCCAGACGAAGGGCAAGTGTATTGGCCCCCAGACGAAGGGCAAGTGTATTGGCCCCCAGACGAAGGGCAAGTGTATTGGCCCCCTGACGAAGGGAAAGTGTATTGGCCCCCTGATGAAGGAAAAGTGTATTGGCCCCCTGGTGAAGGGGAAGTGTATTGGCCCCCTGGTGAAGGGGAAGTGTATTGGCTCCCTGGTGAAGGGGAAGTGTATTGGCCCCCAGACGAAGGGCAAGTGTATTGGCCCCCAGACGAAGGGCAAGTGTATTGGCCCCCAGACGAAGGGCAAGTGTATTGGCCCCCTGACGAAGGGCAAGTGTATTGGCCCCCTGACGAAGGGCAAGTGTATTGGCCCCCTGATGAAGGAAAAGTGTATTGGCCCCCTGGTGAAGGGGAAGTGTATTGGCCCCCTGGTGAAGGGGAAGTGTATTGGCTCCCTGGTGAAGGGGAAGTGTATTGGCTCCCTGATGAAGGGGAAGTGTATTGGACCGCTGATGAAGGGAAAGTGTATTGGCTCCCTGATGAAGGGAAAGTGTATTGGCTCCCTGATGAAGGGGAAGTGTATTGGCTCCCTGGTGAAGGGGAAGTGTATTGGCTCCCTGATGAAGGGGAAGTGTATTGGACCGCTGATGAAGGGAAAGTGTATTGGCTCCCTGATGAAGGGGAAGTGTATTGGACTGCTGATGAAGGGGAAGTGTATTGGACCGCTGATGAAGGGGAAGTGTATTGGCTCCCTGATGAAGGGGAAGTGTATTGGACCGCTGATGAAGGGGAAGTGTATTGGACCGCTGATGAAGGGGAAGTGTATTGGACCGCTGATGAAGGGGAAGTGTATTGGACCGCTGATGAAGGGGAAGTGTATTGGCTCCCTGATGAAGGGGAAGTGTATTGGCCCCCTGATGAAGGGGAAGTGTATTGGCCCCCTGATGAAGGGGAAGTGTATTGGCCCCCTGATGAAGGAAAAGTGTATTGGCCCCCTGATGAAGGGGAAGTGTATTGGCTCCCTGGTGAAGGGGAAGTGTATTGGCTCCCTGGTGAAGGGGAAGTGTATTGGCTCCCTGATGAAGGGGAAGTGTATTGGACCGCTGATGAAGGGAAAGTGTATTGGCTCCCTGATGAAGGGAAAGTGTATTGGCTCCCTTATGAAGGGGAAGTGTATTGGCTCCCTGGTGAAGGGGAAGTGTATTGGCTCCCTGATGAAGGGGAAGTGTATTGGACCGCTGATGAAGGGAAAGTGTATTGGCTCCCTGATGAAGGGGAAGTGTATTGGACTGCTGATGAAGGGGAAGTGTATTGGACCGCTGATGAAGGGGAAGTGTATTGGCTCCCTGATGAAGGGGAAGTGTATTGGACCGCTGATGAAGGGGAAGTGTATTGGACCGCTGATGAAGGGGAAGTGTATTGGACCGCTGATGAAGGGGAAGTGTATTGGACCGCTGATGAAGGGGAAGTGTATTGGACCGCTGATGAAGGGGAAGTGTATTGGACCGCTGATGAAGGGGAAGTGTATTGGCTCCCTGATGAAGGGGAAGTGTATTGGCCCCCTGATGAAGGGGAAGTGTATTGGCCCCCTGATGAAGGGGAAGTGTATTGGCCCCCTGATGAAGGGGAAGTGTATTGGCCCCCTGATGAAGGGGAAGTGTATTGGCTCCCTGATGAAGGGGAAGTGTATTGGCCCCCTGATGAAGGGGAAGTGTATTGGACCGCTGATGAAGGGGAAGTGTATTGGACCGCTGATAAAGGGGAAGTGTATTGGCTTCCTGATGAAGGGGAAGTGTATTGGACTGCTGATGAAGGGGAAGTGTATTGGACCGCTGATGAAGGGGAAGTGTATTGGACCGCTGATGAAGGGGAAGTGTATTGGCTCCCTGATGAAGGGGAAGTGTATTGGACTGCTGATGAAGGGGAAGTGTATTGGACCGCTGATGAAGGGGAAGTGTATTGGACCGCTGATGAAGGGGAAGTGTATTGGCTCCCTGATGAAGGGGAAGTGTATTGGCCCCCTGATGAAGGGGAAGTGTATTGGCCCCCTGATGAAGGGGAAGTGTATTGGACCGCTGATGAAGGGGAAGTGTATTGGACCGCTGATGAAGGGGAAGTGTATTGGCTTCCTGATGAAGGGGAAGTGTATTGGCCCCCTGATGAAGGGGAATTGTATTGGACCGCTGATGAAGGGGAAGTGTATTGGACCGCTGATGAAGGGGAAGTGTATTGGCTCCCTGATGAAGGGGAAGTGTATTGGCTTCCTGATGAAGGGGAAGTGTATTGGCTCCCTGATGAAGGGGAAGTGTATTGGACTGCTGATGAAGGGGGTGTGTACTGACCCACTGAAATCCTTTCACTGTTCTACATGATCATATTAACAACTAAAAGCAACTTTGACTTTTGATCACTTGGTTTGGTGCATCTTTCTGTATTTCTATGCTTAGAATTTGCAGTGGAGGAAAGGGGTGCTGTCAATGATGCTATCTCAGCAATGGGGCTACGGATCAGAACAGGACCACATGCTATGTGCACTCAGCCCCTTGGGGTAATTACCAAGGTTTCTGCAAACGTGATGATATTTCTTCTTTAAATGTAATATAATACAATGACCTGACAATTGGCTCACCGGAGATCCATGCTTTGTGGTCGGCCAGTACTCCAGGCTGTACATGCACTAGAAACAGTGCCAGACTGGGATCAAGTCACAGTTCCCGGGAGGAAGCACGCTAAAAGTCGCTGGGAGGCGCATCTCCGGTATATATTATATAAATGCTGGGGAAGAGAGGGGGTCCGGGGACAAGGACGCTAACATCACAATCATTCTTAGCTAAATATTCCACACCGGCCTCAGACCAACGTCAGCAAGACCTCCTCCACCTTCCACCTACCTAACTTGACTTGCAGCGGGGAAGGTTTGTAGTTCATGGACACGGTCTCCCCCTCTCGGATGTCGCAGTCTCCGTCTGCAATCGCAGCTGCTGCCGGATCCTAGAAGACGAGAAAAGAGAAATTTTATGGTTATTTTATTATTTAACATGAAACAGAGTCACTTTCATCAAAGGATCCCAATGATCAAACACAAGTCAAAGTCTATTCAACAAAATTCCAGTAAAATAAAGCCACTTCTTCCTCCTGTGTGTCTTGGTTGGTGGAAAGTCTTGGTTGGTGGTAAGTCTTGGTTGGTGGTAAGTCTTGGTTGGTGGCAAGTCTTGGTTGGTGGTAAGTCT